AAAAAAAAAAAAAGATTGCTGTTAAAACGGTGCAGATTAGCTGTCGACAGAGCTTATTTACCAAAAGTAAACATTGTCTTGACATAGCTCTTAAGCACTACCTTCTTTAAAATGGAGATAAGGGGCGACTGGGTGGCACAGTCGGTTGAGCATCCGACTCTGGATTTCGGGTCAGGTTGTGATCTCAGGGTCATGAGATCGAGCCCCGTGTCAGGCTCCATGCTGGACGTGGAACCTGCCGAAAATTCTCTTTCTCCTTCGCCCTGGCCCGCACACATGCTCTCTCTTTCTCTCTCAAATAAATAAATAAATCTTTAAAAATAAAATGGAGGAAAGAACACTGGCGAGGACAGCAGGAACAACCTGAGGATAAACGTTCTTTTTATAGGAGCTTTCTTTTTTGCTTGAGAGCAATAGGAGTGTTTACTTGGCTCGGTAATAACTAACATAAGTACCAGCTCACTCCACTTGCCACCCACCCAATACTTTTACGGCTCTACTTCTGCAAGATCTAAGTATCTAACTTAGTTACTTTAAGTTTTCGTTCACTGGCATTTGCCCTTTGTTTCTCTTTATGGAATTCTTTTTTTTTTTCCCCAAATCAGTGATTCTTACCTTTGATTTCAGGACACCAGGGCGTCATAATTTTTCTCATAAAGAACCACAGACTACTCTCAGGAAATTTCAATGTCAAATTAATTTTAAGCCATTTTAATTTAAAATAAGACTTTTCCATTTGGTATTCTTAAGAGGAAAGTCAGAAAAGTCACCAAACTCAGATGCAGATAGTTTTACCACTCTCAAGGACTTTGGGAATCTCCTCCCTCCCCCAATTTTGGGAGTTAAAAGGATAAAGAGCTGGAAATGAGTTTCATGTAATGCTTGGTCTGGAATAGGGACATGTGCCAAAGTTGAGGCTGGAGTAGAGTTATACAACCACACTGGACTATGCATATTAAGAACAAAGGTTTCAGGGCATCTGGGTGGCTCAGTCAGTTAAGCATGACTCTTGTTTTAGGCTCAGGTCATGATCTCAGGGTCGTGAGATCAAGCCCCGCGTGTGGCTCCATGCTCAGCCTGGAGTCTGCTTGAGTTTCTCGCTCCCTCTCCCTCTGCTCCTCCCCCCAACCATGCTCACTCTCTCTTTAAAATAAATAAATAAATCTTAAAAAAAAAGAAGAACAATGGTGTCTAGGGGCGCCTGGGTAGCCCAGTTGGTTAAACACCTGACTCGTGATTTCGGCTCAGGTCACAATCTCAGGTGGTGAGATCAAGCCCCGCGTCAGGCTCTGCACTGGGCATGGGCATGCAGCCCACTTAAGATTCGCTCTCTCCTTCTCCCTCTGCCCCTCCGACCCCTATCCCACCCCCTGGTTTCATACGCACACACCCACTCTCTCTCCTAAATAAATAAATAAATAAATAAATAAATAAATAAAATAATTTAAAAATAGAACAAAGGTGTCTATAAGTAGATGGGTAAGTTCGTAACCACTGAGCTTTTTGGTCCTACTGCAATATACATCTAACACCTAATTAATGAAGTATTCTCCACATACAACTTTAGCAAACGCAAGAACAAGCATAGCTGAATACAAGAAGTACTTACTGATCTTCTTCTGGGATCTGGATGGATCTTCTGATAATGGAGTATGAGTGGCGGGGAGCCGTTGGCAAGCACTTACAACCTGTATGGTTGGCAACTTTAACAGGCACTAATTCAGGTACTGAAGTCAAAGGCACTGTTATCTCAAAGAGCTAGAAGAGAGAAAGAACCATAACACATATATATTGTTAGATAATAACTTCTAGAGTCTGCATTTTTGCCTTTGTCCTTTATGGTAGTGACTTTAGCAAAGCTGTCCATTAACAACAGAACTAATAAGGATAAGGGCTGGCATGATGGAAAGGATGCTGGGCTGGGAGTCAGGAGACCGGGGGCTTACGCAACTTTACCAAATATTTAAGCTTGACCAAATCTCTTAACTTTTTGGTGTCACTGGTACCCCTGTAAAAGGCACTGTTGGTCCCTGCTCCTATTTGAAATGTGAGTGTAAATTATACGGACTAAATGAAATTATAGCTATGAAGTTTCTTTGAGACCATGGTGAATAGATTATTGCGTCCTTTCTTTCCTTTTCAGTCCTTTGGACTTGGCTATGTGACTTGCTTTGGCCAGCAGGATGTTAGCAGACACGACACAACTACAAACTTGAACTGTGTGTGCTTTGTGGGCTCACTTTCTCCTGCGTATGCTGTAGCCATGAGAAGAGCATGATTTGGCAGGTGTGCTGGCCGAAGAGATGGGAGACACAAGGAACAGACCTGCACTTAACCTGTAGCTTGGAGTCAAGCCCAAGTGAGCCCCCTCGAAACTAACTGACCCTTGAATATATGGGTAAGAATAAGTCATTATTGTTTGAAACCACGAAGTTTTAGAGTGTGTATTACACAGTAATACCTGACTGATACAAGATCATCATGCCCAACCAAATAATTATAAGTAACATGAATATCATTCTTTCTATGTTTCTATATGCCAGGTCCTGTTTTATATTAATTCATTTACCCCTTATAACAACATTATAGGGTGGGTTTTTTCTTTATCCACCCCCAATTCTACAGGTGAAGAAACAGATGTACAGAGAGGTTACATAACTTGCCTAAGGCCACATAACTATTTATTGGAAGAGAGGGGATTTGAATTCAGGCAGTCTGCTCTAGAGCCAGAGCTGATACTCTTAAGAATATGCCTTATTACTTTTTGGAACAAAATGTCCGTGACCCGAAGAAGCAAGGTGGGATCTTGCCAAGTAGAATTCAGAGAAATGTCAATTACTTTGTTTTTAGACTGGTTCTATGGTGTATGGATAAATCTGAACTTGATTTTAGTGTTCTGTTCATTCAATCCCCATTCTACTACGCAGAGTATTCATTTATTCACTTAGTTTCAAAGATGTATTTCATCAGATAGCCCATAACTTTGGGGTGAGAGGTAGTTTTTTTTAAGCCACTATTAAAATGTTCAAGTGTGCATATTTGGAAAGGAAAACTGCTGTAGACTTACACTTAAGTACATTCTTTAAAACTAATCATTTGTTGAGTGCAACAGTCAAAAATAAAGTACTCAACCATCTGTTAAGTGGAAACAATCCATTAAAGTTGTGTTTATTCTGACCTTTTGATATGTAATGGACCCTTTACGAGTCTAAGTAAGAGAATGTTTTTAGAGTGTTTACTTTGCATAAACTTCGTATTCTTGCGAAATTTTTCAGCTATGCTTTAGGGAACAACATGGTCATGAACCAAAGCCTCTTACATTATGCAAGCTTTGTTTCTACTGACAGTTGATGCTTAGCCATACTTATGTCATTTTCCCCCGATTGTCAAATAGTAAGAAGTCAGAATTTTTACAAGTTCCAAGATTCTCTAAAAGAATTTAGAAAAAGAAACTCAACAGTTTGTGAGATATTCTAGGAGGTAGGGGGAACAAAATGAAGGATAAGTTTACCTATTATCAAACAAATCAGCATTCCATTCTTCCCATCCAATTAAGATAATTTTCCTCTAAAAACGGGTGGAGGTGCCTTGGCGGCTCAGTTGGTTTAGCGTCCGACTCTTGATTTCAGCTCAGGTCATGATCTCAGGGTCGTGAGATCGAGCCCCGCGTCGGGCTCCGCACTGGGCTTGGGGCCTGCTTAAGATTCTCTCTCTCCCTCTCCCTCTGCCCCTCCCCTTCCTGATGCCTTCTCTTAAAAAAAAAAAAGGTTTTTTTAAAGATTTTATTTATTTATTTAATTGACAGAGAGAGAGAGAGAGAGACAGCGAGAGGGGGAACACAAGGGGGGGGAGTAGGAGAGGGAGAAGCAGGTTTCCCGCCGAGCAGGGAGCCCGATGCGGGGCTCCATCCCAGGACCCTGGATTCATGACCTGAACCGAAGACAGTCGCTTAACCAACTGAGCCATCCAGGCGCCCCTAAAAATTTTTTTAAAAAAAGGTAATTTCCTACCATGGATATATTCATTGCATATGTAATTTTATTATACTACCTCTGTTCACAATCAGAGAATAGACCGCAAAGGTAAATGTGACAACTGAATGAATACATCAACATGCACGAGGAATGTGCAACACAGAACCAAAAGGAATGTAGTTGGACTTACAGCCTTTTAATAAGTTTTCCTAAGTTTGTGATTACTGCTCTTCAATGCAACATTTCTTACATTTGACAATAATACGGTAGTGATAGAAAAGATAACTTACCTACTGGGCAAAAGAGATTTTACAAGATGGAGAGGGAAGAATTATCTCTTTCATGGGGACTACAGACTAACTTTCAAAGATCTTTTGTGCTAGATACGCTCCATTTGCGACACCAGAGATGCCGCCCTCCCTCCTTCCTTTCCTACCGTGCTCTGGGTCTCAAGATGCTGACCTCCATGTCTGCATCTGTAGGTCCTCTTGCCTCCTCCACCCCCTGCCCCCAACTCCTTGCCGCCACGCCTCCAACTGGTCCAGCAGCTCTCGTCTCCCCTTTCTCTCAGGGTTCCTGAAACTGCTCGAGCCCCTAGCCTCTTTGGCCCAAGGGTGGCAACAGCTCCCCACTTTTGCTAGCACTGGGTACTTCACCAGCCCTTCCTCCTTCCCGTAGCCCTGGCCACACCACCCGTCCAACTCTTCTCACTTGAACAACACAGAACCCAACAAATACACGAGACAGTGCAGATGTCTTCATTCCTTTTATTGTCTGTTCTAGTTAACTCCCATCTGATTTTCCGATTCTTGACGTTACAGCATCAGAGAGACCAGGAGCTGATAAGAGTTCAGGCCCTGGAGTCCCACAGACCGGGATTTGAGTCCCAGCTCTGCCACAGATAGCTCCCTGAGCTCAGTTTCCTCATCTACAGAGGATAATAGGATACCCTTTGAGCTTGTTTCGGGGATTAAATGAGATGGTGCCCACAAGGGCATTTAGCCCGGTGCAGGGCAATAAGCCTAGCTGTAGCTGTCAACATGCTTGTCCTCGGGCCTTCAGAGCGGGGCACAGTGGCGGATGCCCTCCTACCTGCTTGGAAACGTAGGAGGTGCTGGTGTTCATACAGACGAGGCTCTCTTCATTGCAGCAGCCACCGCACCGGAACACGTTCACACAGGGCGGCTTGAAGAAGGTGTCGGTGCTCCTCCCCAGCTCGCTGGCCACCTCCACGCACGTCTCTCGGGGGCTGCACTGGGTCCGCTGCCATTCCTCATCTATCACTGCAGAGAGGAAGCTCATGGGGGCCGGCCCCGGAAATGGCCCTGACAGGCCAGCACGCGCCAGGGTGGTGCTGAACACGGTCATGTTCACGTGTCCAGTGCCGGTTATCTTACGAGATGGATAATTTGTCAATCCCTTAGCCAAAGATTGTTTTCAGAAAAATTAAACCCCAAATCTGTGCCCCTTCCCATGTATACAGTACCTTCTCTGGTAAAGAACACCATCTCCCTATAAAACAACATTGGGTACATCTGGATGAGCTGGATAATAAGGGGGTAAATGGAAGCATGTAAAGAAATAACATGTAAGTGTCATTTGTTAAGCAATTTAAGGACACAGCTGGATAGCCTTTCTTCTACCTGAAGTCAGGTGTGGGTAGGTCTTCACACCGTCAAGAAACACATTTCTGTTGGTTGCTTAAGTAACTACGGTAGGATTCAAAGCAAGCAAATTACATGAACGGAAATTTCAGTGGAACTAATCTTTCCTCGAGCGAGGGTTTTCTCGTGTGCGAGTGCCCAATACCGATGTTTAAGTAAAATAATGAAATAGGCCAGTTTTATTCGATGGCAGGAGCAATATTCTGGCCGTTCTGTCTAATTTGAGGGAAACAAGAAAAAGAGACAAGCCTCTGGGAATAAAAAGATTACCTACTTTCACGTAAAACAGTACTTGCTTTTCTCTCATAGTTTATTTTTTTATTTTTTTTATTCTTATGTTAATCCTCCATACCTTACTAGGGAACAATAACACCCAGTGCTCCATGCAGAACGTGCCCTCCTCAATACCCACCACCAGGCTAACCCATCCCCCCATCCCCTCCCCTCTAGAACCCTGTTTGTTTTTCAGAGTCCATCGTCTCTCATGGTTCGTCTACCCCTCTGATTTCCCCCACTTCATTCTTCCCCTCTCGCTACCTTCTTCTTCTTTTTTTTTTTCTTAACATATATTGCATTATTTGTTTCAGAGGTACAGATCTGAGATTCAACAGTCTTGCACAATTCACAGCGCTTACCAGAGCACATACCCTCCCCAGTGTCTATCACCCAGTCACCCCATCCCTCCCACCCCACCCCCCACTCCAGCATAGTTTATTTTTAAAAATTAGATGCTGACACTTCGATACTCAAAGTTGTAGAGCCTTTTCTACAGATGTTTTGGGAAATGATTCAATTTTATGATAAAGACAATTTTAAAGGTTTTCTTTTAGCCTGTCATGCAACTGAAGAGTGTATTATATGTTGGAAGGGGTGGTGAAAACATGCTGTGGTAGGAAGCTTCTAAACTGATTCCCAATGATGCCCACCTCTTGGTGTTCACACCCTTGCACAATCCCCTCCTCTGTATGGGCTGGGCCTAGTGACTTGATTCTTATGAAGAGAATACAGAAAAAGTGACGGGATGTCACTTCCATGATTAGGTTAAAAAAGACTGTGACTTCTGTCTTGCTAGCAGTCTCTATCTCTTGCTGGCTTGCTCTTTCTTATAGGCTTTGATGAAGCAAGCCGCAATGTTGGAAAGGTCCACATGGCAAGGAACTGAGAGCGGACTCTGGCCAACAGCCTGTGAGGAACTGGGGCCCTCTGTTCAACAGCCTGCGAGGAACTGAGTTCTGCCAACAACCTCTGAGTCAACTGGGAAGCACATCCTGCCCGGATTAAACCTTGAGAAGCCGCCTGCAGCCCAAGATGACACCTTGACTGCAGCCTCTGGAGAGATTTTGAAGGAGAGACACCCGGCTAGGCCATGTCTGTATTCCTAACCCACAGAAACTGTGAGATAAAAAAAAAAGTTGCTTCAAGCAGCTAAGTTTGAGGTAATGTGTTATACAGCAGTAGATAAACTCTTCTCCATTTTCACCCCATCTTCAAGTTTGTACTGATCTCTTCCCACATTATTCTGAGTTCCCACAGATGTGAACATGTTTCCACTAGAAAGGACAAAGAGAACTTCTGCTCGAAGTATACAGATACGGTATTATTGTTGGAAATCTGACCCAAGTGTCTAAATTATTCCCTTAAAACACCTTTCCATATCTTTATTCCTCCCCCCCCCACCATCTTAATATTCCTCAGAAGTTGCTCCTTCGGTCACTGAAAACACAAAAGACAAGATGTTTGGCCACCCGAGAAACACTGCATACGCTACACAATTTGCCTTAAATTTGTTTTTTCATCATAAAATCTTCTAACACAAGAGACCCTTTTAAATTTCCAATTATGAATATTTATATAAAGAGCCTAAAGACTGTAACCATGAGAGATAAATTACCCAATTAGGCATTAATATGAGTATTATTTAATTCACTGTTATTAATCACGAATCCTGGGAAAAACAAGTAGTCAACTTATGAAAACATTCTTTGTTTAAAATTCTACTTAAATGTTCCTTTCCATTTGCTTTTTTGTAAAACTAAGTTTTGAAAGTCAGAGTGGTAAAATTTTAATCAAAATTGTGTGGAATTATGACTAATGCCACTGCTTAAAAGCTTCATAACTCTGCTATCCTTTCCTACTGCCCAGCAGGACTGCTCTGCCTCAGGGAATCACCCCAAAATCCATGAGGGAGAGTTGATAACAAATTACAATTGGTGTAGCACATCGATTTGATTATTTACCACTTCGAACTTAGTAAATCTCTTCAGATGATCCCCCATGTAATAAGAGACATTTTAGAGTTGGCAAAATGCCATATTTTTACGTTTTTTAAAAAATATTTTTGGGCGCCTGGGTGGCTCAGTCAGTTAAGCGTCTGCCTTTGGCTCAAGGTCATGATCCCAGCGTTCTGGGATCAAGCCCCACATCACAGAGGGGCTCCCTGCTCAGCGGGGAGCCTGCTTCTCCCTCTCCCTCTGCTCCTCCCCCCAACTCATGTACGCGCACATGTGCTCTCTCTCTCAAATAAATAAAATCTTTAAAAATATACTTTTATCTTTTTTTATGGTTTCCTCCTTAGAGAATGTCAATGTCACTGACTTTTTTTTTTTTTAATTGCCTAGTCTTGGTTGTATGGTAAATGCTTGTCTCTCTCCATTCTCACAGAGTATCTCCAGGCTCACCTCACACTTGCAGACAGGGAATCTGGTTAAGGCCTTGGATCTCGAGGTGAGGTCTGATCCCTTTATTTCCATGAAGTCCATGCCAATTCACGACATAGAAACAACTAGAGCTTAATCATATGTTAACCAAGTCTCAAATGCTAGATCAACAATGCCTCAGTGGCTTCTTGTGTTGTGTTGCTATTTCATCCAAAAAGTTAGATGCCTAATAAGGGGGATGATTGTTCCCTAGTAAGGTATGGAGGTTCTGTATAAGAAAACCAAAAACAGTACTTGCTTTTCTCTCATAGTTTATTTTTTTATTTTTTTTTTATTCTTATGTTAATCCTCCATACCTTACTAGGGAACAATCATCCCCCTTATTTCAAATTAGGTTATTTCCCGTCTGGAGTTTGGATTCTTTCGTCTAGAGGATTTCCCACCTCCATCACCTAGTAATCTCCATATGCAATATTACAACTCAGCTTCCGACTTCTACTTTTCATTTTTACTACAAAAAAAATCACCGAATTTTGAAGAAACAAAAAAGCCCTGCCTAATCCACTGGTTTTTATTCATGTAGGTATGGCAGTAGAATGCTCCTTACTGATGAAGACCTAGGTTGTTTTATGTTTTTAAGTAAGCCCAGTGATTTTTTTTTTTCTATTAAGAATGGTCTTTCTGGGTTTGTTTTGCACTCACGTCTCTGAGTTCAATATATTTCCGAATTCTAGGGCGCCTGGGTGGCTCAGTTGGTTAAGCGACTGCCTTCGGCTCAGGTCATGATCCTGGAGTCCCTGGATCGAGTCCCGCATCGGGCTCCCTGCTCG